AGTTCAAGGCCAGCCTGGTCTACATAGTGAGTTCCAGGACAGCTGGGGCTACAGGGAGACCCTGTCTCAAAAAGACCAAAAAAAAAAAGTTATATAGATAATGGTTAAATGATTCCTTTAAAATTGTATATGTGGGTCATATAAAAGGGAAATTTTCCCTTATAATTTTTGAGGGATAGAGACCTAGATTTTGATTTATTGAGAATTCCAGAAGAACTGGAAAATGTTTCTATGCCTGAATTGCTGGAAAAGATCTCAGTTTTGTCACAGTACATCTGAAGCTGCAACCACCAACCACCCTCATGGTGACTGGAGCACTGAGCCTAGGACTCGATGAAAGGCAGGAAGCAAGGTCAGCAGCACAGCTTTTGATAACTTAATCATCCTCTATCCAAACCCCAAGATAAATGGATAATTTCATCTTGGGAATTATTGCTTACATTATAAGAACCAGGAAAAAACACTTTCTTTTTTTTTTTTTTTATCACTGATGAGTAATAGAATGAAAAGTCCGCTTTCTGCTTGAACACTGAAAAGGGCTTTCTGTTGAGGGAGTCATAAGGAGGTAAAGTCACCTTGTCCACGAGCTGCTCTGCAAGCCTTATCTTTCGCTGTTACTTAGTAGATATAATGTAATTTTGATGGTAACCAAGGCTCAGGGTCATCTTCTGAAGCACTGTTAGTTTCTGGGAGTGAGTTCTCTTATGGCCCAAGAGAGATAAGAAAATGCAAAAGATTACATGTATCAACAGTACCCATTCCCCACTGTGATGATAAAATGGTGATGGGCGGGGGAGGGGTGGCCTGAGTTTGGCCCATGGTAGAGAGAGAGAGAGAGAGAGAGAGAGAGAGAGAGAGAGAGAGAGGAAACTAAGGACTAAGGTTAATTACAATGGAACAGAAAACTTTAAAGAGAAAAATCATACGTTAAATTCTTATTGCTATCTTGTTGAATTATAAAAATAATTTTGATCCAGTAAAACCTCATTAATTTGGATTCTGCTAATCAGTTTGTGGGAAGAAGTTATAAATTAAGGGCTTATAAAACAATTTTGTGAGTACATTTCAGCTTTAAACACTTATTCATTTGAAGCATGTCAGAAGCACCTATTCCAAATGGTGTGATATTTATAAACTTTTTGATGTATTTATTGAAGCCACAGTTTTAAGCACTTCTATTGCAAAATGCTGTAATGTTCTTTTTGATACAGTCTCTGTGTGCTTTGAAATAGTCTATAATTGTTAGTTTTCACTGATTCTCCAACATGTATTTTATTGCATATGAATCATACATAATTTTGGGCATGATTTACTTTGTTAAGACCATGTGCTCTTATTATGTGCAGTTTTCTATGAGACATGTACTATGTATTTCACAGTCTTTGTCTTTAAATGATGTAAAATAGTAGTTCTTAACTGGAAGCAGTTTTGGCAATGGCAGGAGATATTTGACATTAGTAAAGGGTTCCTAACGGCATCCAAAGGACAGAAGCCAAGGACACTGCTAACATCCTACAATGTACTGCATAGTCTCCCATAGGAAAGAATTTTGTGTTAGTAGTGCTGCTATTGAGAAATCTTGCTATAAAAACGTTAAATAATGTTTGTGGTATTGAGGACTGAACTCAGGGTTTTGAACACGGTAGGCAAGCCTTTACCACTGAGCTACACCTCTAAAATAAATCTTACTGCGAGTTTCAGAGGTATTTATTTAATTCAATGCTACTTTGGTTTCAATTTAACTGTTCTTAGAGAAATGCTTTACTCTTAGATTATTTTTCAATGTAGAAATGTTGTAGTATCCAGAAAAACAGCAACCTAGACCCCATAAAGCTGATGGCATAAATTGTGTGTTACAGATTTGGCTGTGTTTCCCAGATCCTGACCTCAACTTTCTTTAATATTTTAACAGTGTGTTAAAATATGTATATGTATATAGAGTATACGTATCATGTTTGTATTTCCAAGCCCAGTCCTGTTATATTAAAGTTATTGCAGGAGGTGGAGAGACATTTTGAAGAAATCAGGAGAATTCAGGGGCTTGGAGAGATGCTGTTCTAGTATACATTTTCTCAATCTTTAATAATTTTGCTCTTTTCAAAATCACTGAGAAAAATTTATAGGAAGCACCACTTCAAATAAAAAATGTAAAACCAATAAAAATGATAATTTGGGATATTAACTTGGACTCAAGAAGATGGTGATTTCTTAAACACAAATGCAAACCCAGTAAGCCTTTGATTAATCAAAATTCAATGAATCAGTCCCTAGGATTTTGGCTTCTAGAAGCATGTTAGACGGTGTGAGTAGGAATCAATCTTTGTTGTATTCTGTTTCTAGTACTCTGTTGGGTTTGACAGATAACATTTATCACACCAAAGATGGTCTATATTTTCTGAAATACTACTTTTCAGAAGGTGTTTGATATTTGCTGATACACACTTGTGATTTATATTAGTCAACCTAATTAGTGACAAAGTTATTGATTTTTCATCATTAAATTATCTGTGGATTTGGGTTATTCATAATAATGACTGAGGTCAAGCTAGCTAAAACACTACTACATTTCATAAAGGTTCCCATCAATAAGTACTAAACCCAAAAGTATTTTCTAATGAGAGCCCTTGTTAATCAGAAATGCAATAAACCAGAATCTTTTCCCCAAACATTAACTGAGGTTTTACTGAATCACATTAAAGAGAATGACCAGTTTGGTCTGTGAATGTCAAGCTGCAAAAGCACCTTGGGATTGTAGACCCTATTGGGTTTGAACAGTAATATACTGTGTAATTGGCAGACAAGGATATAAATGGTGCTTTAAAAATATACCACTTTAGAAACTGAAATTGGGGTATGTGAAATTTCACTTTTTGTGAAATCAGCTCCCAAAGCTAACTGCCTTGTTCCTACAGTCTAGTTTCTGCAAACTTATCACTAACTCTCCTGTAGACTATAAACCAGGCTGAAAAAAGTGCTTTGAGGTGATTCAACCCTGCGTGGTTTATGACTAAAAATATCAACCCATTCTGAAGGTGATAGAAACGGAAATAAAGGTGTTGGGAATAATTTACTATTGAAGCAATACCTGACTCTGAATGAGAACTGCGGATGATGTAAAGTGCTATATAGAGAGAAGAATGTTAACCAGATTCTTGCCATAAGAATTTGATATGTCCTAGTAAATGGAAAGTTACAGATGAGAAGAAGACTCTGGGTTTTTGTTTTTGTTTTCTTTTTCAGTTGGGTATGGCAAATACACTTGAAATGCACTGGTATCTTCTAATGCAGATTTTTTAAATTGTTGGGTGTGGCCCAATTTATAAAAATAGTTTACCATAAATCCTTTTTCTTCTGTTATAACATGCTTTTTTTCCTCTTAAGATGTTAATTTATCATGCAAAGATTTTTTTCATTAAGTGCATTAATGCTTTTGTTTGTACAGGAATTTTCAAATCAAAAGGACTCCCCATAGTTTCTAAATATAAATTCTTAGCAAATTACATGCCAAGATGATAACACCCATTCCACACGGGGAGAGGCAAACTCAGCCATATCTTGGGAGTTAACCAGGTTTCCAGCCTTCAGGCTGTACAGCGTCCTTGTCTTTGATTAAGTCTCCTTTACGGTAACTTCAGATGGACTATGATGGAACATTTGGTAGAAGAAACTGGTTTCTAGCAGTTGAATAGTGATGCTGGGAATAAATTTGGTTTCCCTGAATAATGGTTTCTCAAAGCAGTCACCGCTTCTTTAGAAGTTTAGAACTGGTACCATTTCTTATCCTTATATTTCAGCATTAACTGGAAAGAGAGAAACAGCAATCATAAGACACTACAAAAAATCGTTTTTTGGTGTTCTTAGTAACTACTTTTTATATTGTTATAAATTTTCTAGTTTTCTAATAAAACTTTTTTTCAGTTTATTATTTATTTAATAACCACATACTTAGAAGAAGCATTTCATTACAACAACATTGATATATTCAATAACAATTTTGTGAGCTAAGATGCATCTTTTTCAAAATTGGCTATAGATTTTTAGGTTTACAGTTGAGTTGTTACAGTTATACAATATTTTACTCAGTATAAACCCTATAAAAGACATAAAATTAAATGAGGATTTAACCTTTAAAAAAATCTCCATTTCATTATTAAAATACAGTTTCATACAGAAAAATTCATTTTCAATGCAATTGACATTAAGATGTTTGCACATGTGTTTCTAATCTCTATATATCTGATTATTACTAGTGACAATTGGTTAATTTCCAAGAAAAAAATCTTTTAAAGTGATTCACCAAGTTAATATCGAGCTAATCAGAAATTTAATTATCTCAAAACATAAAAATGTGTGGTGTCTTATTCTGTGAATGAAGAACATAAGAGAAAAGTTTTAAAAACAAACACTTAAGCTACATAGACTTAGCTGACAGGAAATGCTGCTTAATGACTGAGACAAAATGGAAGTGTGGCTCCTGTCCTCTACTGACCTTCACCCTTTTTGGGGTGGGGCTCACATAATCTCCCTACATACCTTTCAAGCAGGTGATATGGAAAACAGACCTACTGTATTAGAATCAATGAATAATTCATCCCCAAAGGTAAAGAAATATCCATTTATTATAGTATTTAATTTTTAAAATTTCCCTAAAGTAGGGGGGAATTATAGTACTTAGGAGATTTTGATGAGCTTGGCTCTCATACAAGGCACCTCTGTTTAGGCTTTCTTTGCCCAGCTTATGTGTTTAAACTGGCCATTGCATGAAGATGCCTGTATTTACTAGGCAGTTTACCTCATGTGCATGTTTGGAAAAGGCTTCTGCGCTGGTCATCATGCCTGCAGTCTTCTCCTCCAGCTCGCCCAGCCTCTGTCCTCTCTCATCAAGTGCAATCCGGGCTCGGGTCAGCTCTCCCATCACCCCTCCAGCAGCGCCCTTCATCCCTTCTATGCTACCTGGTCCAGGAATGTGTTGTGCAAGACTGCGGGATGCTTTTCCTGCTGAAGCTTCCCCAACTGAGGATTTAAGCCACAGTAATTTAAAACATGCCAGTAATTCAAATAGTCAGGCTGGTCACCAAGACAAAATACTCTGTGATGCCAATATCATAATTCTCATTAAAAGGATACCATATTTGGTATTGTCATATGTATGTGTATGTGTTGAAGTAAGGGTACTTAAGAAAAATGCCTATGGAAGAAACCGTGGAAGGTATGGTTATATGTCTTTGTGTATGTGATTTCTTCTCTTTTTTGTGTATATGTATATATATGTGTATGTGCACACATATGTTCATATGCATGTGGAGGCCAGAGGTTAACCTCAGTGTTCCTCAGGTGCTGGCTATCTTTTTTTCTAAAACAGTTTATCTATCTATGTATCTGTCTATGTATCTATGTATGCATGTATGTGTATGTATGTATCTATCTATCATCATCATCATCTATCTATCTGTCATCTATCTTACCGATCTATCTATTATCTAGCTATCTATCATCTATCTGGTGCTGTCTATTTTCTAAAACAATTTATCTATCATTTATCTATTATCTATCTATCTATCTATCATCTATCTATCTATCTATATCTATACCTATATATTGTCTGGTGCTATCTTTTTTCTAAAATAGTTTATCATCTATCTATCTATCATCTTATCTATCATCTATCTATCATCTATCTATCTACCATCTATCTATCTATCATGTATCTATCTATCTATCATCTATCTATCTATCTATCTATCATCTATCTATCTATCTATCATCTATCTATCTATCATCATCTATTCTCTCTCTCTCTCTGCATGTGGAAGAGACAGTAAGCTTATGTCATGGCACAATTCTTGAAGCCAGAGGACAACTTATGGGAATTGACTCTTTCCCTCCACCATGTGAGTCCCAAGGATTGAACTGGTCATCAGGTTTGACTGACCAATGAACCCCCAGGGATCCACTGTCTCTCCAGTACCAGGATTTCAAATGCATACTACCTCACCTGGCTTTTTTTTTTAACATGGGTTCTGGGGACTGAACTCACCTTTTAATGTTTGCAAGGCAAGCACTCTACTGCCTGGTCTATCTCTTTAGTCTCATTATTGCATTTATATTGACATGGATAAATTGGAATTCTCAAAACATGTAAAACCTCATGTTTGACACATACCACTGTTTGTTCTAAGCTCAGACTTGATCATTTACTTAAATTTCTGCCACATCTTCTCTGCTAATCTTTTATATCAGCTGTTGTAGACCTCAGAACCCCTCCCCTTATTTTTTTTTTCTGTAAATACCAGAGAGTTTGGCATAGGAATATATAAACAGATGTGTTTATTTGCGGCTTTATGAAAGATTAAAAGTTTTCTAATGAAAGTGTTCTGTTTCATTCAATTTAAATAAAAGCAAACAAGTTTTTATTCAAAATATCTATCTTTGCCAGATATGTTAGCACAGACCTGTAATCCCAGCTCTTGTGAGACAGAAGCAAGCCTGTGTGTTTTACACAGACAGATCCTTTCATAAAACATAATACACAGCTATCTTGGCAGAAATTTAGTGAACATTTTCAGTGATGTAACATTGAAATGGAATCTAGGATTTTAATAGTAAGAGCCTCATTGAAGGGCAATTCACATACCATAAAAGTTACCTTTAAAAACCCCACACAATTAATTATTAATTTTTGATTTCTTCACAAAGTTGTTCAACTACAACCACTATCTGACTTTAGAATATTTTCATTAGGTCAAAAAGAAACCTCATGCCCATTAGCAGTCACTTCCTGTTCTTTCTTTCCCCAACACCAGGCAACCATTGATTACATGCCCATGAATTTGCCTATTCTGAACATCTCATATAAATGGAATGATATGAAATATTATATGTAGCCCTTATTGAGCCAGAATCTCTGATTTAGCATGATATTTGTGAAGTTCTATGTTATAGCATGTGTCAATGCATTATTCCTTTTATGGTCAAAAATAATATTCAGTTGTAGGGTGGTACCTAAATGCATGGTTACAAGAGAAAGGGAGTTTTGATATGCAAGACCAAATGGTGGTGTTAAAGTCTGAAAATATTACTCTCATCTGCCCTTTGAAAATGTTTCCTAGTGTCCTGTTACTGCTTTTTGACTATTGCTCATCAGAGTCTCATGGTAGATGTTTAAAGTAGTGTTTTTTACTGACAAATTTGCATTCTGAATAAAGAACCCATTCTCCAGCAGTGATTGTAGGAAGGTAGACTAGAATGCTTTTTCAGAATTGAAAAGTCAAATGCCTTCAACTTACCATGAGGATATGGTCTATCTGCTGCAACTGAGACATTTATTAGCTTGCTCATTTTTTGGTTTTAAAATATTTTTATTAATTCTCTGAGAATAACATAAAATGCATTATGAGTATATTTACCCCCACCTCTCCCTCAACTCCTTCAAGGTCCACCACCACCTTCCTACATCCCCAACATCATATATTACTCAAATTTATTCTTCCCATGTACTTCTGGGGGTGGGGACATCTACTGGAATGTGGTTGACCTACCAGGGTTCACACCCTTAAAAATAATTTGCTCATTATTTCTTTGAATTCTATATGTATAATTTATGGTCAATTATTTCTTAATATAAAATAAATTTTATTCATGCTTGATAAGCATAAACAATTTTCATAGTGCATAAAAGAATAATATTCAAACCTACAGATAGAAAAGAATTTTGTCTAGAATTTGAGATATGTTACATTAACACCCCCCCACACACATACACAAACACACATACACAAACACACATACTAAAACAGGTCTTCTATTTTATGGCAGCTTTTCATAATAAGGAGTTTACTCACAGAGTTCTTCTCTGTCAAATGTCTGTCCACTTCCACCAAACAGTCCCTTGAGAAAGCCTCTATTTTGAGCTTCTGGTGTCTCTATGGGAGTAAACAAATCTCCTAACATGTCCTGTATCAATTAAGAAAAAAGAGCATTAGCACAACTAAGACTAAATATAATAGATTAAAAAGGTTACATACACTGTAGTATGTTTCAATATACCATGAAAAGACAGCCTGCTTTCCATATCTTTTCCCTATGATTTTTGCTTGGCACATAGTTCTCCCTTCCACCCCTCAAGAAAAGGAAAATCCCCAAAAGCCACATTCTTAACAATAAACAAGTGATGAGACTTAAAAAAAAAAAAAAAAGCACGCCTTCTTTAATCCCAGCACTCAGGAGGCAGAGGCTGGCTGGATTTCTGTGAGTTCAAGGCCAGCCTGGTCTATATAGTGAGTTCCAGGCCAGCCGGGGCTATAGGGAGACCCTGTCTCAAAAAAGACCAAAAGAAAAAAAAATCAACAAAGAAAATCAGAGTTAAATGTCTGATAAGCCAAATGGACTAAACAGACATCTACAAAATATTCTACCCCAGCACTGCAGAACATGCATTCTTCTCAACAGCTCATGGAACTTTTTCTAAAATTGATGACATTGTAGGACAGAAAGCAAGTCTTTAAAAAAATATTTATTTATTTAATGTGTATGAGTATATTGCCTGCACGTAGATAGGTACACCCATGTCATGCAGTGCCCACAGAGGTCAGAAGAGGGCGTTGGATTCCCTAAAACTGAAGTTACAGACAGCTGTTAGCCACCATGTGGGTGCTGGGACTAGAACATAGGTCCTCTGCAAGAGCAGCCAGTACTCTTTCTGAGTCATCTCTCCAGCCCCACAAGTCTTAACACATACCAAAAATTGAAATTATGTCTCTTTTTTGTTTCTTATTTAAATTATTTTTTATTGAATTTTTGTGCATTTCATACAATACATCTTGATCATATTTAGACTCCCTCCCCTATCTGTAACCCCCAACTTCCCCTTTCTTGCATTCTGTCATATATGTTAAGGCCTACCAAGTCAAGTTTGTGTCCCAAAATGTCCCTCGGTGTGATTCCATCCAATGGAGCCTGATCAACCTATCAAGCATCACTTCCTTAAAGAAGACCAACTTTCCCTCACCCAGCAGTGATCAGCTGCCAATAGTTCCTCAGCTAAGGCTATGACTTCTTACCCATTTCTCCAGTTCTCTGCTGGGTTTTAATCTGGTTTGAGTTTGTATGGGTCTTGTGCATGCTGTCACCATTGCTGTAAGTTCATATGAGCAAGTTCCCAGAAATCTGGAAAACTCTGTTTCCTTGTGGTCATCCACCACTCCTGGCTCTTAGAGTTTTTCTGTCCCCTTTTCAGGCAATGACCCTGAGCCCTGGGTGGCAGAGGTTTAATATACGAGTCCTATCCAGGGACACATACTCTGTAGTCTCTTATTTTCTATATTTTGGCCAGTTGAGGCTTTTTGAAATAATTTCTTGAATTCTATCTAATCATAGAGGAATACAACTAGGAATCAACAGCGAGAAAAACTATAAACATACACAGTCATGGAAATCAAATAACACACATGATAAGTGGATCATCCAAGAAATCAGGAGGGAAATGTAACAGTTATTGGAATCATAAAAATGAAAACAATACACCAGGACCTCTGGGATGCAATGAAAGCAGTTTTAAGAGGGAAGTGTACAGCTAAAAATGCCCACATTGAAAAAAATTCAGTATGTGGTGGCATACATCTTTAATCTCAGCAGAGGCAGATGGGTCACTATGCGATCGAGGCCAGCCTGGTCTACACAGTGAGTTCCAGGCCAGCTGGGACTACAGGGAGATCCTGTCTCAAAAACAAAACAAAACAGAACAAAACAACAAAAAATCAAACAAAACCAACCAACCAAAGTAAATCAGAGTGATCTTAAATAAATAACTTAATAATATACCCTAGGATCTTAGAAAAATATCAATAAGCCAAAACCAGAATAGAAGAAAAAAATAATGATCAAGACAGATATTAATAAAATGGAAACAACAAAATACAAAGAAGCAATAAAACAATTGGTTCTTCAAGAAGATAATCAAAGTCGACAAACCCTTAGCCAAACTAACCAAAATATAGCTAAGACCCAAATAATTAAATTAGAGGTGGAAAGGAATATATTACAGCAAAAACCACTGAAATTCAGAGGACCATTAATGCATACTATTAAAACAATTGAAAATTGTTTCAAAACAATTGAAAATCTAAAATCAAGCCCAAGGATAAAGCAAATAACAAACAATGAAACTGAAGCAGTAATAAAAACTCAACTAAAACAATGCAGGCCCAGATCGACTAACTGCTAAATTTTATTAGACCTTTAATGAAGAATTAACACAAATTCTCCTCAAACTATTCCATAGTATAGGTACCTAACTCCTTTTACAATGCCAGTGTTACCCTGATAGCAAAGTTGGATAAAGATAAACACAAAAAGAAAATTATAGGCCATCCTAATGGACCTGAACATGGATGAAAAAATGCTCAGTAAATACTTGCAAACCCAAATCAATAGCACATCCAAAATATCATTGACCACGATCAAGATGAATTCATTCTGGGGATGCAAGGATGATTCAACATATGTAAATAAATAAATGTAATACATGACACAAATAGACTCATGGAACTAAAACACAGACCCTCTCTATAGATGCAGAAAAGGCTTTTGACAAAATCCAACATCCACTCAGGATAAAGTCCTGAAGAAACTAGGAATAGAAGGGTGTATACAGCAATCTTACAGACATTATACTAAATGGGTGAAGGCATTAAAGCATGTCCACTAAAATCAAGAAAGAAGCTCGGATTCCTCTACTATTAGTCATTATAGTGCTTGAAGTCTTAAGCACTGTAACAATAATAGAAAAAGCACGTGGGATATAACTAGGAAAGGAAGATGCCAGATTACCCCCACTTGCAGATGTTATGTTCCTATATGTAAGAGATCCTAAATACTCTGCCAGAAAACTTAGAACTGATAAACACAACAAGAAAGAAGGATTCAAAATTAACATACAAAAATTAGCTTTCCTAAATGCCAATAATAAAAATGCTAAGAAAAAAGTCAAGGAAACAATCCTGGGGGCTGGAGAGATGGCCCAGCAGCAGTTACGAGTGTGCACTGCTCTTCCAGAGGACCCGAGTTTGTTTCCTAACACCCAAGTTAGGTGGCTCACGATTGCCTGTAACTGGACTTCCAGGGAGTCCAATGCCTCTTGGTTCTGTAGCTCAGGAGGTAAAACTAAGAACTGACAAATGAGATTGTATGAAATTAAAGGGATTCTTCACAGCAAAGGAAACAAGTAAACAAGCAGACTATAGAGTGGGAGAAATTCTTTGCTAACTCACACCAGAGGATTAACATGTAGAATATACAAATGATTTAAAAATACCAGAAAACCAAATAACCTAATCAATAAATGAGTTTATGAAATAACAAATAATCAAAAGATGAAGCACAAATGCCCAATAAACATGCACAAAAATATTCAGTAAGCATTTAGCCATCAGGGAAATGCAAATTAAAATTATCTTGAGAATCCATCTCACCCTAGTCAGAATGAATATCATTATGAAAATAAACAACAAATTTTGGCAAGGATGATGTGAAAAGCAAACACTTATATACTGCTAGTAGGAATGTAAATTAATCCATCTATGATGGAAATCAGTATGTTCATGGAAGTTCCACAAGAAACAAAAAACAAAACTACCATATGACCCAACTATACTACTCGAACATATACCCAAAGGACTTTAGGTCAACACACCTAACAGCACAGTGATACTTGCATATCTGTGTTTTCTGTAGCACTGTTCACAATAGGCAAGTTACAGCATAAGATTCAGGTGTCCATTAGCAGATGAACAGATAAAGAAAATGTTACACACACACACACACACACACACACACACACACACAGATAAAGAAAATGTTTTATTCATCCATAAAGAAGAATAAAACTATGTTGTTGGCAGGAAAATGAATGGAACTGGAGATCATTATAGTTACTGAACTAAGTCAGATTCAGAACAATAAATATCACATGTTCTTTCATTTGTGGATCCTAGATTTTACATAGATACATAAAATTATATATGTACATACATGTATATGCATATGTAAAGCATGAAAGTAGAAGCTAGACTCTGAAAGAACAAGGGGGAATAACAGGAAGGTTGAGAGGGGGAAAGGAGAGGTGCAGGAGAGCGAATATGATCAAGGGCTGATAATCTTGTATAAAAATGTCTTTACAAAACCCATCACTATGTATAATGAAATAAAACTGCAATAAAAAATTAAAACAAATCCCCCTAGAATAAAATAAATATGTGTCAATTCATGAAAGAGTTACTAATAGGATCTTTATAGTCTGTCCCTCTTATAATTCTGTGCATATCTAGAGCCATACTGGAAGTTGGCAGGGTTATACTGAAGAACATATATATTCAAAACATGTTCTAGGAAATGTATATTTATTTTCTGGTCCAATAATATTTTAGTTTTTAGACATCACTCTCATTCTCACTTTTAACAATAATTTATTTAAAATCTATTTTATTTTATTTAAAATCTATTTATTTTTGTGAATGTATTTTACCCACCTGTATATTATCACACATTTCTTGGCTATATGTTAACCGCTGAATTTCAGTAGGAGAAACGAGGTATAATGCCTGTCCTTCATTAGTAAAACAAAATGTCCGTGCTATCCTCATGTCTGTCAATGGCAAATAATTAACATCCAACATTGGGCGAAGACTAGGTAAGCTGAATGGAAAGAAAGTAAATCCACATTTCATATTTACGTTGATGGAAATATTTCCTCACATAAAAATTTAAGTCTTATGGCTCTTTTTCTTCTCTTCAAATATTAGTGATAAACAGATTTTCACATCACATCATGTATACACATACACATACACTTGTACACAAACATGAGAAGAGTTCTAGTTTAACTTACATACATACTTAGCAAATGTCCTTAAGGATTAAATCCAGTAACCTGGAGGTACTTCTTGAAGAAGTTTTTGAATTCCTTTACTATGATTCTAGATTTTGGATGTTAGACACACTAAAGCCAGTAAGCTGCTGCATACCTGGTCTATGGGGGATCTTTAAGGCACAATTTTTGAGTCTGGGGAGCTTATGCATCAACAGAGACATCGGTGTGGTCAGTCCACTGTGCCTGGGAATAGAGTGACTTTGCACCCATTCCTGATTCCTTCTTTATAGGAAATAGAAAACTTTCTATCTTAGGACATCCCACCCTGAACATTATTAGTAAATAAACATGGCTAAAGCTTAAAAGAACAAGAATAACTTATAAATAAGAGGTTAGAATTTATACATTAGAATGAATACATAGGTATCTTCTTATCCTAATCCTGCAGCCATAATTTTGCTAAACTATTCCTCAGAATGTCCTTTAAGATACTGTAAAGCCAGTTTTATAAACTACCGACTAAAAACAGTTTCATTGGTTTTTAATCATAGTTTAATTATCAAAGGCTAGAAGAGTCCTTAAATCTCAAAGTTTGAAACTATTCTAATTCTTTGTGCACAATGATTTAAATTTATCCTTGAATTCAGAAATAGCACCTCAATAAAGGTACTGATTTTTGCTTTCAAATTAATTTGTTTCTTATACTCTGGGTCTTAGAACTTTACTATATAAAATGGGGACTGCTATTAGAATAAGTTTTTATTGATGTTCTAAGCATCATATTTTAGCCACCACCTACTGAGGAGTTGATCCCTGACTATTCCAAATTGAGGTATGAGAAAGTATAAATTGAACACTGGTTTTGAAAGATTTACTAATAAAACTATCTTAAATATAAGAGACATTAGAAATTATCTGCTATAGGGCTGGAGAGATGGCTCAGTGGTTAAGAGCACTGACTGCTCTTGCAGCCAACCCAGGTTCAATTCCCAGCTCCCACATGGTGGCTATGAACTGTCCTTAACTCCTGTTCCAGGAGAATCCGATGCCCTCTTCTGACCTCTGCAGCATTGCATAACTCGGTGCACTCACAATACATGCAGGCAATACACTCAAGCACATAAAATAAAAATAATAAAATATTTTAAAAAGAAATTATCTGCTAATAATTTTATATAATTAAGTTCCTTAAGCCATCAGAGACAAACTCAGTTAAACATATATCCATTATAGATTCAGTCAAAACATTGTGTAGAGTTGAGAAAGAGCGTCCGACTGCTATTTCTCCTGAGTTGCCTTGTCTTTGTTGTACAATATAAATAACGCAAAACAAGAAAGAAATTAAAATACAAGGGGTATAATCTCTTCATATAAGAAAAGTGAAAGAGGAAATCTATCACTAAGGGCTAAGCAAATAAATTGGTGTTAAAATTGAAAAGAAAGAAAAAAAGATTTACTTCTTCACAGAGGGTCTTTATAAAGAAATAGCACCAGGCAACTAAAAGTTGTTCTTAATTTAAAAAGCTTCAAGTTTGAGGATTTATGCATGCATAATCCTTTTGCATTGCAAATAGTCATTAGGTATCTGCCATCTATTAGATACTGCAACTTGAAGGCTTTGCACTCATGACAGTTGTATTCGAACAGGTCTGGAAAGATCCTGAGAAAACACTAAGCATGGGAAAATGGGGAAGGCCAGAAGAGGCCAGTTTACAGAATTTGGATCTTAATTTGGTCACACAGCAGAGTATATATAATTATTTCCTAGCAATATGCTATATACTACTAAAATCATGCCAAAATCATTGTCTTTTCAAATGTTCATAAGGATTTCTAGGAATACATGAAGTTTCTGTTATAATAATAGATAGTATCATATAAAGCAGCTTTTACAAAAGACAAAGGAAATCCCAGATACCATTTTTGAATGGCTCTAGGTTTTGGTTTTTTTTTTTTTTTTTTTGGTCTTTTTGAGACAGGGTCTCCCTGTAGCCCCAGCTGTCCTGGAACTCACTATGTAGACCAGGCTGGTCTTGAACTCACAGAGATCCGCCTGCCTCTGCCTCCCGAGTGCTGGGATTAAAGGTGTGTGCCACCACGCCTGGCATTGGCTCCAGTTTTTTAAAAACTCTCTCTTGATTTCCCTTATCAAGAAATCTCTCACCTCATAAATATATATGGTACATTACATTTTGTTTAAATAGAAATTAATTTTGAGATATACATTCTATCAGAGAAATAAAAACACTAAAATATAAAACACAGGATAAGGAATCATTATCAAGCTAAAATCCTAATTGTGACACAATTGTTTAATATAAATTTTGGGTGAAAAACATGGGCTTGGGGGGAGGGCTTTACACACACCCTCATAAATGGCACCCCACCCATAACTAAAGCATGTCTTGGGGTTAAAACATTTTCAAACAAGAATAAACTATCTTCACTGGAAACCTTTAAAAATAGTTTGAGAAATGGAAAATCAGAGAGAGAAAGAGTTATAAGCATATGAAAACGAGCAGACCATATAATGATTATTTTTTCCTTAAAAGTTTCTCCAAAGATTAAAGGGGCCAATATAATTTCATAAGAGTCCATATGTATAGCTAAAGGCAACATAACAAGCAACAATGCCAGACAGGCGATACTTTCTTTTGAGTTGTTGGCCAGGGCGGCCAAAGGGACTCCCAGATAGTAACCCAGCACAGATCTGGGAAAATGAACAGCAGACCCCAATCTTATCCAAAGGAATATCGACAACTGATTGCTTCTAGATGAGGAACAGCTGATCTTCCTAAAACAAAGCCCTCTAGATAGGCTGACTAGATTCACCAGATGGACAAGTAGTGGGGAATGGCTGGGGGTGCTGACAACACAGCGGACAGTAGTAGGCATATCAGAGTATAAGGGCTCTAGTGGGGGGAGGGAGGCTATGTGAGGGTGCTATCTGGGAAGTGGGTGTAAAAATAAATTAAAAAAATGTTTCTCCCTCACTAACAACTTATATATTTGTTCATGTCTTCTCAATTAGAAAATAAAATTCCATGCAAGTATAATTTTACTCTGAAACTACTTTGTCTCTTTTTATCAAAAATTTTTCTGATAGAATAACCTATACCAGGGGTAAGGAGTCAGATCGTAAATGTTTTAGACTTTGTAACCTCTATTATCTCCTTTGCAAATATTCAGTTCTACTTTGTAGTGTAAAAGCCATGGTCAATGTATAAGTGGTGATGTGGCTGTGTAACAAAATGCCTTTATTTTCAAACATTTGCATTTCATATATTTTTTACTAATCAGAATATTCTCTGAATTTTTTTCAATCATTAAAAAATTTAACATTTGGGGCTGTACAGATGGCTCGGTGGTTAAGAGCACTTCCTGCTCTTGCAGAGGACATAGGTTCAGTTCCCAGCACACCCAGGGTAGCTCACAACCATCTTTAACCCTAGTTCCAGGGAATCTGACACCCTTTTCTGGCCTCTGAGGCACCAGGCACACATGCGGTACATATGCATACATGCAGGCACCACACCTGTACATATAAAAAACTGAGATAAAATCTTTAAAGACTGAACATGCATTCTTGGTTTGCAGCCTACAAAATTAGACAAGGACTGGAGGCAGACTGGTTTGTGGGTTAGACTCTGCCGGTCTTGTATTTGTACCACTGCCTCTACTGTCCCCTTGAAAGTTAGTTTTTTTGCCACCATCATATTCCCAGCATTTACTTTCTCAAAGCTCATTAATTTCAGCCAGTTTCAAGATCCAGAGTTGTTACTTTACTTTTCTTTTTCCTTGTGTTCTTTCAGATTTGGGGGTGGGTGAAGGTCGGGTTTCGTGTAGCCAAGGCTGGCCTTGAACTTACTATGTGGCAGAGGATTACTTGAATTTTGCAACCTCCTGCCCACAACTCTCAAGTGCTGGGAGAGTAGGTGTGTTCCACGATGCCTGGTTGGTGGCATTTTTAAATAGAGTTTCTTGCACTCCTGTTCTTTCTCCTCGCGGCTGTATTTGGCGCCCACGTGGCCATCTCCTCTGTTTTGTGCTCTCCTCTCCTTTCTAATCCATGAAGTTGTTCTGTTCTGGTCCTTCTCCTGCCTCTGTGTACTTCTCAGTCTTTTCTGGATCTTCCTTTTCCCATTGTATAAACAGAGATTAGCTTCAGGCTTTTTATTCTTAGCTCAGTCTATCTTTCTTTTCTATTTATAATATTTTTTGATGACCTCAATTACTGTGATAAATTTTACTAATGCATTTATATAGAAGACTTTCAAAACTGCATCTTCCACCCACATTTTTCTAAGAGATCAAACCTTAAATTTCTGCTAAATTTCTAGTGGATAGTTTAGGAGTACCTAAAATTTCAAACTTTTATTTTCTTTTAAAATATTTTATTGTTTTTATTTTACATGCATGAGTATATTGCCTGCATGTATGTAAGTGCACCTGTGTCATGCAGTGCCCACTGAGGTCAGAACAGGGCATTGGATCCCCTGGAACTGGAGTTGCTGACAGTTGTTAGCTGTCGTGCCATGTGGATGTTGGGATCTGAACCCGGGTCCTCTGCAAGAGCAGTCAGTGCTCTTAACCGCTGAGCCACCTCTCCAGCCCCAAACTTATTTTCAATTCATTCTCAATGCTTCATTATCAGCCGTTTCAAATCCACCTTGCTTTAGTATTTGCTAATAGCATCACTGCAATACAAATTTCCAACAATGGTATTTTGACCTTCAAATTCTCTTCTATTCCTGAGATTTAGGATCTCATTTATCTTTTACAACTAACCAGCTCTGCATACAACATGCTTCCTCACTCTTTACCACTGTTTCCTCCTTGCCTTGTAAAATTTTAGCCTTCACTTCAGTCAAAAGCTCATTCCAAACTCTCCTCTTTGAATGTCTCCCAGTGCAGTTAACTACCTGCATTTTGATCCCACTGCCTACATCTTTTAGCCTACCATTCAAGTCTCAATCATTTCTGGTAATCTACCTCTCCAAGTTCTCAACTTTTCTGTTACACATTTGATGATCCTATGCTGTTGAACTCTGGGGACTTAGTTTGTTGAAGGAAAAATCAATTCATATCTTCTCTACTGGCAGTTTCATTTTCTTGTGTTGTAAGCATGTGTGTATCTGTCTTACCTCTACAACTAGATATTGGGTTTCTTAAGGGTTTAAGACCATGTTTTACTCATTTTTATCCTCTTTTCAGGTCTAGTACAATTAACTGTTTCATTGATTTTTGGAACAAGGTGAGATGCTGAGAATAATTACATCACTTCTACAGTATATTAAACAAATGCTTTCATTTTCTTGACGTTTCTTTATGCAGGGCCTGGCACAGCACTACTGAATTCATAAATTCATTAGGCAATATTTTTATATCTCACAAGTTTTACGTCCTTTCACCAAGAGTAGAATTAAATCTCTCAGCTGGTATCTTATTGTTAATGTGTCTGATGATTTTTTTTTTTTTCGGTCTTTTTGAGACAGGATCTCTCTGTAGCCCCAGCTGTCTTGGAACTCACTATGTAGACAAGGCTGGCTTTGAACTCACAGAGATCCGTCTGCCTCTGCCTCCCGAGTCCTGGGATTAAAGGTGTGCGCCACCACACCCAGCTGTGTCTGATGATTTTTAGTACACTGTTGAGTGCTGACTTTACTTTTTCCTATACTTACAAGTTCAGGCAAATTATTTTAATTTAATTTTTAACATGTAAAATGAAAGATGAAAATAATCTTTTATCTGTGACCTAAAGAAGCTATAAGAATCAAATTAAATTCTGTGTGTAAAATTCTTATGAAGCAATGAAAGTAAGAGATAATTTCCTAATAGCTTATTCATCCAGTGCCTAGCCCAAAAGTGCTTTGCTGAATGGACAAATGAATGACTGGAAATCATTTTTTCCTTGGATTCTTTGAGGTCACTTACATATTTCATTCAGGGTGTTAAGTATTTTTTTTCATAAAACAAAAAATCTCCACCAAAACCCAAACCACAAACCTCTCTATGTTGTTGAACAACAAAGCATTCGCAAACATAGTGAAACATCATATGAGATTGCTTCTTTAACATTGAGTATATGCTTTTCACCATTATACCGTGCTGGCACTGCTGTGATAATCAGATAGTTAATAAATAAGTCAAATACCTCATTATCATAATATGCCCATTAGCACAAAAGCATGCCAAGCACGCACTGTTACACATGACCACCACATTTGCTTGCAGTATGAAAGACGTCTCTGTGATGTTATGAACATAGAGGCAAGTCTGAGAAGGCAGTGAGAAGACTTTGGCTTGTTTTTCTGAGCAGATTATTGTATACTGATGGTCTCCTATTTCTTGGGATGAAGAAGAGTAGTTCATGACCAATTTCCTTTTCCAAGTTTTTTCATTTTCATCTGTGTTGTTTGGATCCCTCCAAACTTCATATGGAGGTTGCATTAAACTTCCAGTTCGGTCCATACAGGAAAAAGTTAACACAGCTCCTTTCAATGAGAGGAATGTACCTATAAAAACAATTCACATTACCCACATGTGATAAAACAGCCGTTATTCATAAATGGGCAATAACTGTTTTACATTATGATAATTTACATCTATAGTTTCATAATATTGCACTGATATAAAAAACTGTATGTTTGTGAATTCATCTGTTGTAATAATTTCAATTAAGAGATTGTTAGATCTAAAAAGGACCTAAAATATCAATTTGCCAAACTTGGTCATTATATTAATGAGAAAAGAAATCTAGAAAGATGGTGACAGTAGGGACAGGCCATGTAACCTGGACTAGAGCCTTAGTCACAGATAATGTTATCTGGACTAGGCCTTAGGTCTCCTGATTCTTTTTTTTTTTTTTGGTCTTTTTTGAAAGAGGGTCTCTCTCTCTATAGCCCCAGCTGACCTGGAACTCACTATGTAGACCAGGCTGGCCTTGAACTCACAGAGATCCACCTGCCTCTCCTTGCCTCACACGTGCTGGGACTACAGGCATGCACCACCACACCTGATATGGTCTCCTGATTCTTAATCCAGGGTTCTCTCACTGCCTTTTATAGTTCTACTAAAATCCAGTTTTTAAAAGGAAAATTTTTGTGTATAACTTTCATTTAGTTCAACTGAAAGAAGAATGAGCATACTGCTTGGTTATAATTTCTTTTTTCATAGGCTCTTTGCTGGAAAATGCTTTTCAAAATTTTTCTGAAATTGAACACTCAATAAATATCATGTAACTTCAATATCTAGAGTTAACTTATGGTACTTTTTTTGGTTTTGGTTTTTGAGATAGGGCCTCTCTGTAGCCCCAGCTGGCCTAGAACTTGGTATGTAGAGTAGGCTGGCTGACCTTGATTTCACATTGATCTACTTGCCTCTTCTTCCCAAGGGCTAGGACTAAAGGCATGTACCACCATGCCTGAGTTAACAGGTTTTTATAAAAAAAAATATGTTCAGCAATTAGGCAAGCTTCTGTATCTTAATTTAGAAAAATGTTACTTACTTGGATTTTCCAAGGTGGAATATTTTGGTTAGATACCAACATATATGTCATTTTGTATAATTAATACATGCTAATAAATATCAAAAGAGAAGTGTTCCACTTGTTTACCCATTTGTTGACTGGATTGTTTGCCTTTTTGGTGTTCATTTTTTGGCTCTTTATATATTTTAGCTATCAATCCCCTGTTGGATGTGTAGCTGGTTGGTTTTCTCCCACTCTCTAGGTGGTCTCTTCCTTCTGTCCTTTACTTTGCAGTGTAGAACCATTTTCATTTGATTTAACCCAATTTGTAAATTCTGGCTATTATGTCTTAAGCATTTGGGGTCCTATTCAGGAAGCCATTACCTATACCTAAATCTTGAACTGTTTCCCCTATTTTTTTTATTTATTTTAATATTTTAACATTTTATTGAATTTTTGTGTATTTCATACACAAAATCTTAGTTCTCTTTATACCTCATTCCCCACCAACACCTCTCTATAGGTCCCCCCTGAATTTCATTCATTCTGTCATTTAAAAGTAGCTTCAAAATTTCAGGTCTTATGTTAATGCCTTTGATTTCAGCCAACCTATTTAAAAAATATTTTATTTATTATTTTTATTTTGTGTGTATGAGTGTATTGCCTGCATGTATGTAAGGGCACCCATGTTTTGAAATGCCTGTGGAGGTCAGAGGAGGCTGTTGTATCCTTTGGAAATGGAGTTACAGATGGTTATTAGCCACCATGTGGGTGCTGGGAATTGAACCTAGCTCCTCTGCAGGAGCAGCCAGTGCTCTTGACTGCTGAGCCATCTCTCCAGCCCCTCCAGCCAATTTTAATATAAGTTTTATGGTAGGTATCTGTTGTCTAACCTTCCCTTCTTTGATTAATTTCCTTAGGGCAGATTCTTAAGTCTCTGTGGACTTTCAAGTCTAATATGATAAGATTCTGGAGCTTAGTTCAGTGAATCAGGACTTAGAGGCCAGATAGAATCGTTAACTTTCTAAACCAGAAGATAGACATAATGAAATATTTTTTAATAGTTTACTTATTATTTTAATTTATGTGTATGAGTGTACTGCCCGCATGCATGCGAGTGCACCCGAGTCCTGCAATGCAGCAGAGGTCAGAAGAGGGCTTCGGATTCCCCTGGAACTCCAGCCAAAGACCGTTCGTAGCAGCCATGTGGGTGCTGGGAATCAAACCCGCGTCCTCTGAAAGAGCAGTCAGCGCTCTCAGCCGCTGAGCCATCTCTCCGTAATGAAATATTTTAACGGAGTAACACAATGTGATTGACTACAAAGAAGTGTGATGAATTGAGAGTCAAGAAACTAAGCTTCAGATCTAGTTCTTTCTCTAGCTTACTTGAAGCATGGTATTTATCCTCTCTGGGCTCCATTTTATTGTTAATAAGAAAAGTGCAGTACACCAGTACACAATAGGGATAATGTGTAGGGGTCCATTTGTAGGATCAGCATCACATGGGAATTTAAAATGCAAATCCTCAGACTCTACATAAGACCTATTATATCAGAAAGTCTGGTTGTAGGGTCTATTAATCTGTGATGCAGCAAATGCTTCAAGTGATTCTGACACGAACTAAAGTGACAGTCTCACATTGGTTAGGATAACTATTCTGAAAATCAGAAGATAACAATGATGGCAGGATGTGGAGAAACTGGAACACATACACATTGGTGTAACCACAACATACAAAATAGTGCAACCACATGGAAAAGGATGTGTAAGTTTTTCAAAAAAAATTTAAGATGAAACTAACATATAATCAAGAAATATAGCTCTGGGTCTGTATCTCAAGATAATGATCCTGAGGACATATGTATTCCTATGCAGTACTATTCACAATAGTGAAGAGGTAGAAACAACCTAAGTTTCTAACAGATGAATGGATAAGAATGTGATTTATAGTCACAATGGAATATTATTCAGTCCTAAAAAGACAGAAATCCAGAGATGGCTCAGTGGTTAAGAACACTAGCTGTTCTTGCAGAAGACCCAGATTCAAATCCCAGCACCCACATGGCAGCTAACAACTGTCTGTAACTCCAGTTCCAGGTGA